CAGGGTTGAGTCGCGCAACATGAATCGAAAATGTGCTGTAACGCGCCCTCTTTTGTCTCAGTGTGAAACAAATAGTTTTTATTAGTATAAACAATTATAATCTATATAAACCTTAAAACGATAACGCAATTTCACCGAAAAAATCTTGGGGGGTAACGGGGAGCGAACCCGGGTCCCGCTGGACTAAAGTCGCACCGCTTAACGCACTCGGCCGTTCAACGCAATGGATACTGAGAATTAATAACCACTGCACATATGTTTCAGTTCAGTGCCGTAACTAGAGATTTTAAGCATTGGTATATACTTTTAATATTTTCTATGTAATAAAACATTTTAGATGATTTTTTAATTATTATAACTTTTTAGTAATTTAATTTGCAACGTTAACAATTAATAAATAAATTGATAACTGTAATTAAATTCTTAATTATTTTTATTAATTTATTATAAATTATTATAAATATTTATTAATTAATTTTATTATTTAATATGATTAATTAATTATTAATTAATAAGAATAAATTCATTAAATTTTTAATTAATAGTAAATTATAATTAAACTAAAATGGAATTTAAAAAAATTAATTTTTAACTAATTGAGCGGCCGGATCGTAGAAGGGCACGTAAATTTTTCTCGAGCGAAATCTAAGTCCCCTGAACACTCAAAATTCAACTTCTGAATTTAAATATTTTAAATACACATCCTTATAGAAAATTTCATTCCGCATCTTTTTTTCTTATGAAATTTTTTTCTATCTATTACCGTTTTCGAAATATTTTAGAAAAACTGTTTTTTTGAAAACTGTAAATTTAATTACATTTTTCACTTCAACTCGCGATATTTCAGACAATAAATTTTAAACATTTTTCAATGAAACAAAAATGAAAATACGTCTTAAGGTATTCTACGAATGATAAAAAAAGAAAAAAGTGGTTTTCTTTATAAAGAAAATTGTTATTAATTTTTTTCTTTATTAATGTAAAAATCACGAACTACAATCTTCACGGCTCTCGTTTAACGGGCGAATTTTGAGTAACAGAGAACTTTCAGTGAGAAAGTTGTTCATTATGATCCAAAAAAGTTTTCTGGAAAATAACAAGGTTAATAATTAATTAGTGTCGAAATGGTAAATGTTTAAAGTTGCTAGCGACCAAACGCATAGCACGCGTCACTCGCCATAGTTGCTTGGGAGTGTTGTTTCATAGGTTATGGCCAGTGGCGCGTGCTATGCGTTTGGTCGCTAGCAACTTTAAACATTTACCATTTCGACACTAATTAATTATTAACCTTGTTATTTTCCAGAAAACTTTTTTGGATCATAATGAACAACTTTCTCACTGAAAGTTCTCTGTTACTCAAAATTCGCCCGTTAAACGAGAGCCGTGAAGATTGTAGTTCGTGATTTTTACATTAATAAAGAAAAAAATTAATAACAATTTTGTTTATAAAGAAAACCACTTTTTTCTTTTTTTATCATTCGTAGAATACCTTAAGACGTATTTTCATTTTTGTTTCATTGAAAAATTTTTAAAATTGTCTGAAATATCGCGAGTTGAAGTGAAAAATGTCATTAAATTTACAGTTTTCAAAAAAACAGTTTTTCCAAAATATTTCGAAAACGGACCTTCTACGATCCGGCCGCTCAATTTTATTATTTTTATATTTATTATAAATGATTGTAAATATTTATTAATTAATTTTATTAATTAATATTATTAATTTATTTTATTAATTAATATTATTAATTTATTTTATTAATTATTAATATTATTAATTAATTTTATTAATTATTAATATTATTAATTAATTTTATTAATTAATATTATTAATTTATAATAATAAATTAATTATATTTTTAATTAATAACAAATTAAAATGAAAAGTTTTAAAATATTGGAAAGAATAAGAACAAATTTATCTCTAGCAAATAATCAGTCGAGCTGTCTAGTTATTAGACATTATTGCACCGACACGACAAACTTAGAACTATAATTTCTAGGAGTAGGGGAGACTGGGGTAAACCCGCTCACTAGCGATTTTACGCTATGAACTCAACTTAAGATGGAGATATTGGTACTGTGAATAGTACTTAACATTCAACTTATATTAACGAACTTTCGTTTAGTTTCATGAATTCAACACAGAATCAGAGACCATCAAATGTTTTTAGAGGTGTCTGAAGAAAAACGTATTTTGGATTTTTAAGTTTTTCGATCATTATTTTTGAGTCTTAATTTATCTGGCAAATTTTTTTGTTGCTATTGGATGTCCTTCATCGAAGTACATATATAGTTTTGTCTTATTTTAAAAAGATTTAATTAAATTTATTCTGAAATGTGAGGAATACACTCGGGTTAAAGTCGCTCACCTGAAGTCGGGGTAAAGCCGCTCACTTAGTTTTAAATTTAAAATTTAGAATAAAATAATTTCACGTATTATATTTCAACAATAACACAATTTATGACTTATTAAAACCAAAATTGTAACTACATTTCACTTTCTCTTAATAAAATATAACACTATTTAAATCCATAGTTGTAATTCATGAAATCTATGTTCATTATTTATTAAACCAATTTGTTGTTTATAGAATTGTTTATATAACTCATAAATTATCAATAATAAATTATACTTAAGACGGGAATAAGATGAACTTTAATATTTAAAAAATAAAACTGTTCCGTCTTGAAAAGATAAAGTGAGCGGGTTTACCCTGGAAAATTGTGATTTCGAAATTTGGTATATGTTTATTAAAAAGTTTCTCTAAGTAAAACTAAAAAAGATAAATCAAAAACTCTTTTTTATTTTTTTAGTAGAAATCATAAGCTTTCAAATGATATAAATTAACTTGGATTTAGAGAATAATTTCCTAGATTTTAGCCGATCTGAAAAAAAGTGAGCGGGTTTACCCCAGTCTTCCCTACTTTAAAGTAACATTATAAAAACTAGACAGAAGTTATGTCTAGCCGATATCAAATTCAACTTGAATCTTTGACGAAGAGCGTTGGTCAGTAACTTTACAGTTATTTACTAGTCCGCTTAGAATCAGCGTCCGTGACAAAAACTGTCCAGTAACTTGAACAATCGAGTGGCTCCATGACAAATTTCTACTAGGGCGTTTCCGCATGTGTTCTTTTTTTTGCGCATTGTTTCATCAAAAACTTGTGTGAATTTTTATCTCACTGATTTTTAATTTTTCTCGGCAAAATTATTATTTTCTTGATTATTTATTTTATCAAAAAATATAATTATTCATTAAGAAGATTAATTAATCATGTGATTAATGAACTTTTAAGTTAAAGAATTTACAACAGAATAATTTTTCCGTATTTGGAGATTAAAAAAATTTCTCAATCCATGACAAATTTTGGAAAATGATAAAAAAATGAAGATTGTTAACTTAATAAAAAATATTTTTTTCTAATTTTCAAAAGTGGAACATAAAGAGGATAAGACAAGACGGTTATATTGTTGAGCCTCATTAAAAAGTAATTTAAAAAGTAGAAAGCATATCAACTATATATATTTTTACTTACAGTTATAAACTCTTTGTTCCTATATTAATTATCGTATTCGAATTATCTTATTTTTTACCTTAAATCAAGAATATTGTTAGAACATTAATCTAACTGTTTATTCTTTCTGTTTTTGTAGCTCAAAAAATAATTTATTTATCATCTATCTTTTTTTTGTTCTTTGCACTATAAAAATTAAAAATTAAAATTATAATTTTCATAAAAAAACAAAATTAATTTCTACAAATAAATTAAAATTAAATTAAAAAATAATAAATAACTACAATAAATAAATAATTAAGACATTTCAATTAATTAACGAAAAGAAAAATTTATCGATCTCTCTTCCTTCAAATCTGATAATAATTTAAAATAAATTCACAAACATTTGCCCCGAGTGTTTATGAAATAAATATTGTTCCCTGTCAACGAGAACAAAAATTTCTTAATCATTTTAAAAGAAAAAAAAATTGTATCTTTCTCAAGATCAACATCCATAAAAAAACAGATTCGGTGACTTTTTTACGATTTAAAAATTGATAGAAATCTCATCCGCAAAACAAGAGTCGAGTATTTTTATACTATGGAAAGGAACAAGTTTTTCCAGAGAAATTAAAATGTTAGTCAACACCTTTTAGCTGAGGGGGGAAGGGGGGGGGGGTTTCTCTCTCAATTCAATGTGCGCGTATATACGATCGTAAAATGTCAAACAAAAGTGTGATTAAAGCTTCCGAAAGTTAGAAGGAAAAAAATTTTTTAAATAATGTTTTCAAGATCAATCGCAGATTATATCCGGCCGTGTGAGAAAAAGGATGTGTGTGGTGTAATTTTCGAGGCTAATTTTTTAAAGCAGGTTCTTCTCGGAAGCTATTTTACACGCTTTTTTATATATTCTCTCCTCCCACTCTTTCTCTCTCTTTCTTCTTCTTCTTTTCTCTCCCTAGTGTTTTGTTTTATAAACTAGACGGAAAATCCGTAAACATAAAATTTCAAATTGTCCCTTTCTTCCTGTTTCTCGTGATTTCTCACCGATATAATAAGGTACTAATATTTCACACCTACAGCTGGGCATAAAAGTTCTTTTTTTTTACTGAAAAAAGAAATTGTTAATACTTCTACATTGTAAATAAAATTTTGCATGCGAGAAACAATTTTTTTTGCACATTTATTTCCCTTTTGGCGGCACAAATTATTTTTTTATTCAAATTACTCGCGGAACATTCATTTGAAAATATAATAATTTGCCGTACTTTTCAAATTTTTCTGCAAAAAAAATATATATTCCATCGGAGCTTTGAAAATATTAAAACAAATTCTTTGTAAGAATAAGAAAATAAAAATGTAAAAATACAAAAATGGTAAGAAAAAAAAGTAAAAATAATTTTGCACTCGGGCATATTTTGATAATTAAGAATTCATTTCTGACTTACGATTTGATTATGCTGTAATACAGCAGAAGCTCAAATGATTCATGATGGTTGCAGAGATTGGGATGATCAAAGAATCAGCAGTGGTGATTATCGCAGTAGGCGATCCGGCGCCGGGCGACGAGCCAAATGTGGAAAAAAATTGGCAAATATTTAAGAAAATCATTCCGGGAGTAGCGAAATGGTGTCCAAAAACAGTGATTGTAGTGGTGACACAGCCGATTGAAGTTATGTCCTATATTGCCTGGAAGCTGTCGAAATTTCCACACTGTCGAATCCTCGGCACTGGGACCCTAATAGACAGTGTCAGATTTCAATATCATTTGGCTCAGAAATTTGGCTTGGCAAACAACTCTATTAACTGTATGAATATTGGGGCCCAAGGAAAGCATTCTGGTAAAGGAAAATTAATATTTTTTTTGCTCTTTATATTTTTTTCCCTTTTTGTATATATTTTTTTTTATTTTCTCTTTTTGTACATTTTTCTCTTCTTTTATATTTTTTCATTTTTTTATTTTCTCTTTCTTATATATTTTTTCTCTTTTGTATATTTTTTCTTTCTCTTAATCATTTCTCTCTTTTTCGTATTTTAGTTACGATAATTCACTTATTAGTTAGAAAATTATAAAATATTATATAATTTTTTATTCTATTCCATTTATTATGTATATATTATAATGCATACAGAAATTTTCCAAAAATATTTTTTATTGAATTTCTTTGGTGCTAAATAGAAATTTTATATTAATTGCATGAAATAAATGTGTTAACTACAGTAAATCTTAATATTAAACAAATTTTCAGTATTTCAAAAGAATTAATTTGTCTAGTTTTTCTACAGAACCGTTGACCAGAATTTATAAAGTTGGGCTAGATAATAACTTGATGAAAAAAGCGTGACACTCCATTCCAGTTATTAGCCAGTTGGCTTGTAAATTAACTAGACAATTTCAAGCGCGACTGGACAGTTCCTTTATAATAACTATAGGACAAATTTCTACTAGGGAATCGACAATATCATTTTTTTCAGTGTAATTATCTATATTGAAATCAGAACCCCAGTAGCACGTAATGTTGGGAACATTCCAGCAACATTGAGACAATATTGGTAATGTTAAGGCAGTATTCTCAATATTGCTGTAATATTACGCCCATAGAAAAAAGTTATTTATTTTAACTAAAAGTGTATATATTTAAGAAAAATTTATTTGTTGCAAATAAATATTTTATTTAAAATAAATAAACTAATATTTATTTCAAATAAATGCACTAATTAATCTAAAATAAAGAAATATATTTGCAGTTTATGAAATAGTATATTTGTAGCAAATAAAAAATATATTTGATTCAAATAAATGTTTGTTTGACTTATAAGTAGACGCCTGCGCATATTGCATTGCTATAGTAAAACAATAAGATGTTTTGCTTTTTACAGTTTAACGCGTATAAGTATAAGAGGTTTATTCATCATAAATAGTTAACAAATTTAATTAATTTAAGTACAGAATTTTTCTTTTTAAGTGAAAATTTTAATTAGTACAAAGTAACAGATTTGTATGTGATTTCATTTACATTTTAGTGTCTTATTTGAGATTTTGTGAGAACAATGTGACAGTGGACTTTTACATATGAAGTGAAAAAGTAAAGTAAAATGACTAACAATAAGAAAATCTGACTTTATTTAACAAATATTCTTATAAAAATAAACATTTATTTTAATGAATATTAAAAGTTCCATTAGTGATTGTGATTGTTAAATTTATTTGAAGGTTATAAGTGAATTTTAATATTTCAGAATGCTTACAGGATTTATGTATTAAAATGAAAAATGTTTTTTATTTGCTCTAAATATAAAATATATTTAAAGAAAATATAAAATTTTTTTCATTTAAATAAAAATGGATATTTAAACGAAATATATTAATTCAAATAAAAAATATTATTTGAGCTAAATAAAAGTTTAGTTGGTTCTGTGACAAATATCCTTTTTTATTTGTTTGAAATAAATTTTATTTAAATCAAATAAATCATTTCTCTAGGTGTACGTGCTACTGGGGAATGAGAAACTACTCTCGCGCGTTTTTTTGGCTAGTTATTAATAATCATTTTATCCTTAATTTCTTTTACTAAAAAATAATTATTACAATAATTGTTTTTTCCTTAATTTTTTTTATTAAAAAATAATTCTTATACAAATAATAATAATAGGTAATAATAATAATAATAATAAGCAAAAGTTAAATTGGATAATTCCAACGGTAGAGGAGAAACGGTTTTTCCTTTTTTTATGATTAATGAATGTTCCCAAAAACTAATAAAGAAAAAATACTTGTATTAATAAATGAGTTTCAGTGATGGAAGTAAATGATGAAATGAAGTTATATTAAACACTAGTTGATATTACTACCGTTTAGTGTAAAATTATTATCGCTTCCGCGGCCAATTAGTGTAAATCACTTGTTTCACAGATTTCAATTATATGTTACCTATATATATTGTATATATGAACGCAATTTTGAGACATGCACTTTTGCAGAGCCAATCGGATAAATTAGTTATAATACAAGCGCAAATAACTTCAATAAATTTCATAAAGCCAAGTCCATTAATTTCCTGTCATAAATGTAATGAAGTTTTGCTTCTGGTTCTCTCCGATACATATATGTGCCATTTGAGAGTTGTTGTCCTCGTGCGATGCAAAAGAGCATAAGGTTACATTGTGTGCAGATATTAAATAGCAAAAAAAAAATTAACAAGAAAAAAAAATTGGTTTGATACTTTAAAATTCGATCCGGTCGCAATATGGTTGATATTGTTCCTTCCTCTAGCGGAAAAAGGAAATGGGACTTTGTGTTTGACGTAGTTTTGAGGATTTTGCGACATTTTATAGAAATATTCTTTTCAAGTATTTTACATAAATATTCGTTTGGAATATTTTATAAATATTCTCTGAGAATATTCAAAAAAAAAATCGAAAGCAAAAATATCCACTGAAATAGTAGCAGAATTTTTATTATATACTTCAATTTTCAGGGACTAGATAATAATAATTATTTCGAATATTAAAAATAATATTCCATTGATCCTTTAAAAATATTGAAATTTGAAATATTTGAAAAAGTATTAGATTTGAATTTAGTGTAAAGTAAAAGAAAAAAGTGCGTCTAATTTAATCAGATATTTAAACAGATAAAGTCTCACAGGTGGTAATTTTTTGGGGAAAACATTGGCCAATTAATTTTATCCTTTTGGAAAGGCCATACAGTGAGATGTTCTTTTTAATTTATTCCTTCAATAAATTTCTGCGATTATTGTAAATTATAGTTCCTGTGTGGTCGAGCGTTAATGTAGCCGGTATGAAGCTGCGGGACATTAATCCAAAGATGGGTGAAAAGGATGACCCTGAAAAATGGTACGAGATCGGCACCACGGTGAATGAGTGGTTAGTCATTTTTTATTTTATACACATATACAATATATGTAAGAAAGTGAAATTAAGCCATTGAGTCTCTGTGAACATTCCAGTTATTCCGGTTTTTGTTTCTTCTTTTTTAATATTTCTTTTTATTTTTTTTTTTTTGTTTTTTTTGTGACTTTATAATATAGTGGCAGTACACTTAATCAACAAAAGGGTTTGAAAGGACCAAATTCATGGGGACTCGGTTTCTGCACTGCTGAAATTGTCGATGCAATTCTCAGAAATACCCGAGTCGTACTTCCGGCTTCCACGTATATTAAGGTTATTAATTTTTTTACTTTTATACGATTTTGTTATTTTTGTTTCTCTTTGCTCTAAATGTATTTATTTATTTTTTTTTATTTTAATTCGCTTTTCATTTTTGTCGATTTATTGTTCTTTTTTTATTAAGATTTATTTATTTATTTACACGGAAAAAAAAAGTACGTGAATCCTTCCTTGAAAGTGCTTGACTTTTGGATAGAACACAAAGTACAAGGCTGTATCATATACTTTTTATTAGAAAATATAGAAAAGTCCTAGAGTTATTTTAGTACTAGTATGGGCAACAGTGTTTTTTAAATTTTAACGAAAAGTCATTTGTTCAGTTTTATAAAGTACGTGAAAGATTAGTTGACTGCGCTTGAAAATTCTGTAGAGCATGCGCAGTGTGCGTTGCGCGTTTCTACCCAAGGTAAATGCCAGCTGATCGTCTGTTTCCATTTGTGTTAATTTCAGATGTGAATATACTATTATTTTATGAAAAACAAATAGTGTTAATATATATTTGTCTTCAAGAATTGACTTTCAAAAAAATATTTTTTGTTTTGTGTTTCTCACAAAACAGAATGTTATGTAAGTCTCAGTTTTCAGTGAAATAGCATATCTCAGAAGTCGTGAAAAATGTCACCATGTGGTATATAAGAACAATTCGATACGTACTTTTAAGTGTTAAGTGTGTGTTTATATTTAAGTTATACGCGAATATATGTGTGTGTTATAGGTTAGTTCATAAGTGTTGACGAACGTCGAAAAGTGATACAATAATTGTTCTTTGTTTGTGTGATTAATTATCCAAATATGTGAATGAATGAGTGAATTTCAGAAAAACGGTGTGAACAAGTGGAAATTATTTTTTTTATTTTACAGTTTTTTTGAAAGTCAATGAAATTCTCAAGCAAGGTACTAGAAATTTTCATTGACTGCTTTTGAAACTCTCATGCAAAAGTACTAGACTGTTTTTAGTATTTTGTGTCGTATCCAAAAGTCAAGTACCGAGTCAATGAAAAATTCACGTACTTTTTTTTTCCGTGTAGTATTTTTTTTTATTTTTTCATTATTCACTTATTTATTTACTTTTTTTAATTGTTTAAACGACAACAATAAATAATTATGGTTATTGGATTTTTTTCTAATAATAATTTTTCATTAGAGTTGCGCCCACGGAACGGACAAGGATATTTTTATGTCAATACCTTGCGTGATTGGAAGGGAAGGAATTCTTCAGACTGTTAAACAAAAATTGTCGGACGAGGAGAAAAATGCTCTACAAAAATGCGCCGATGAAATTCGCTCTACCATTAGAGAATGTGGAATTCTACAAGAAGACGAATCGGAAGTCATTCTTGTGGAACAAGCAGAGGGATGATTTTCCTTTTGCGAGCAAAAAAAATATTGTTTCTCTATTTCCTACTATTTTTATAACCTTTATTTTTATATTTTTCCTTTTTCGCTTTTTACATCTTTTTTAAAATTTATGTAAATCATACCCACTACTTTTGAGTATATATTTTATTATTTTGAAAATATTCTCCCGATTTTTAAATTTTATTTCTGAAAATTAAATTAAATTAAACGTGAAAAAATACAAATTTTATTATAAACAAATAAAAAATTATTTATTTCATTAATAAAATTAATGAAATTGATAAAATGAATTAATTAAATTTACCTTCATTTAACGAAAAATTGAAATAAAAAAAATTTAATTTATTTTATTATTTACAGAATTTTAAAAATAAAAAAATTGTATGGTTTAAAATTTCTTGAAATAAAATAATAGGACATTTATCGCATATATTTCTGAAAAGAAAAAAATTCGTCGCCAATGTATTTTTATAATCACTCGGCTGTTTTTTTGTTTCTCATTTTTCTGTAGTAGAAATAAAAAATAATGTCTCGCTTAAAAATCTCTAATTAATTTGAATTCAAATGAAATCTTGGCCGAGAGATGTTATCACTTGAAAATTACATTTTGTCGATAAAAATTTGTTTTTATGGAACAATTTCCTATGGTGTTTGAGGTTGCTCGTTATTGGATAATTTTTTATTCTTTTCCGGCATCTGAGAAAATGCGGGAATCGAAGATATTCTAATTATCTTAAAAGAAAAAAAAAAGCAGAGAGGGAGAGAGAACCATTATACGTAAATGGGGTTTACGCAAAACTTGGTTGGTAGCCTCACTTATCTCACTTCATTAGAATTAAGTGTATAATGAAAAACACAAGTGCGTAATGAAGCTATAAAATTAACATGCTAACGGCCTTTACCACGGAGCCGGAAAGCTTGTCGATTTCTTTATTTATTTTTTTTTTGGTTGTACATAATCTTCATACAACTCATCTTTTTCTCGAAAAAAAATCCCCGTTGTTTTTAAATAAATCTTTTTCTCATGAAAAAAATTTACTGTTTACTGGTAAACAATTTTCGAATTAATCGTTTTTGAAAACGTAAAAATTTTTGTGTGCAAAAAGTTTTCTGAATAATTGGTATATGCAGTAATTAATTAATGAGATAATAATTTTAATTATTCTGGTAAAAATTTCATAAAAAGAAAATTTTTTATTGGAAAATTGTTCTGGGAAATTTTCTAATGTATTGGTTTTAATAAATAAATAATTGTGGTGCGCAGTAATTAATTAATTAGGTAATAATTTTAATTATTCTACTAAACATTCCATTTGAAAAAATTGTAAAATTTTTTAAATATACAAAAATTTTCCTTTCCTTTACAAATAGAGAATTTCAAAATTATTCGACTTCTTTTTTCAGAGGAAAAAAAACAAAATTTTGTAGTTACTGTCAGATTGACAATATAACCAACATAAATGGTGAGAAATAATAAAATATGAAATTTAATTAATTAGGGTTAATAAGTATTTATGAAACAAAATTTTGTTAATTTAAATATAAAATTTAAATTGTTCTTGAAATAAATATATTTTTTAAATAAAAAATTATGGGTGATGTGAAGAAGAAATTAACTGAAAATACCGGAAACACAACAACAGTTTTACTAAACAGACAACATGAGCAAATTCTCCCGGGTCAACGTGTCAAAATTGTTATTATCGGATGTGGTTACGCTGGTGTAGCTTCCGCAATTGCAATATTGTTCAAGGTTCCATTTGTCAAATTATATAATTTCAAAATTCTAAGAAAAAATTCTGTAATTTCAATATAATCAAACTTAATTTTTTCCTTATGACTTTTTTTAATTTTTGAATATTTTATACCCTGCGTCTATACGTCCGACTAGCCGGATAAAAAAATTTGTCCGGATACTGTTAGCCGGACGCAATAAATTCGTCCGGATACTGTCTAGCCGGACGTTTTGCTGCATAACACAGCTGAGTCTAAACCTCCGGCCAGTAATTTTGTGACAGTTTTTCAAAAATCTCGAAATTTCAACTAAAAACAAAATTATTGTTTCTTTGCCTTGAAAGCAATTTTTTTCTTTTGACGATTATTTATTTTAATGTCAGAAACCATTTTAAAAAAATTTCAAGAGGATGTAAGGCAGGGAATGCAGTGAATTTGAATTTTTTTTGTCACAGATTTTCCGAAAATCCCGAAATTTCAAGTAAATTGTTAATTTATTTTAATTATTTTGTTTAATTAATTTTTTTGACTTGGAAGCAATTTTTTCTTTTGATAATTATTTATTTTAATATCAGAAGCCATTTAAAAAAGATTTTAAGAGGATCTAAGGCGGGGAAAGCATTGATTTTGTATTTTTTGTCGTAGATTTTCCAAAAATCCCGGAAAACATTATTTGCAATTAACATTTGTTACAGTAAACATTCTGTCAAATAACATTGATAAAATAATATTAAAAAATATATTTTATGGTCATTTGAGTTAATAAAGGTTCGAGAAAATAAAGTTTTGCATAACATAAATATTTTAATAACTTACCTTTTGAAAAATTCAACATTTAAATAAATGACAACTAGATAATATAGGATAAATAATAACAATTTTACAAGTTGAATTTTCATCTTCTTCAGGATTACACGAAATTAAAATTATTCAACATTATAATTTTTATTAAACTTTTATAGAAACTATAACATTTATATAGAACTTTTATTCTTCTTCAAAAAAATTGTTTTATTTAAGGGGTAACATCACTCTAGAGCCAGAAAAAGAGACCTATATCTTTGATGATTTATTTTGGGAAAATGAAAAAAGGAAGAGGTTTTCTTTTTGGAGGGTTCGTTAAATACATATTGAAGTGTAGAAAAAAATTTTTATTTTAAATTTTATAACAAAATGGAACAGAAAACCTTTGTTTTCATGATCTTGCGACCGGATATTTTAATTAAAAATAATATTTTTAATACGAGCATCTAATCCGTTCGTTAGTTCGCTTTCCTGTAATTTTACCCAAACAACTCGACTAACAACAACACCAACGAAACAATACTTCCTCAAAGATGTGGAACTTTCCCGCCAAGACGACGCTGATGCTTAGACGTTGAAAAACAGAGAGAAAATGTGAAACAATTTACCAGCGACGCCAATAGAAATATTCCCTGTGGAAGAGGTTCAAATACTCTTAACAACACCACAATAAAACACAAAATTAACTAACACCTCTTTATTAAAAACCACCAAAGAAATTACACACTTTCGCGTAAACGAACATTCTCAAAAGCACGCCGGTAAACGAATGAAATAATATCATATCTGCTTGTAACGAATTCGTCAGCTGAGACGCCGGTATTCCTGTCCTTGTCCTAAGGTCACACAAATCCGATAAATCCTTCCTTGTCCCTCAAACGACGGAAAATCACCTGTAAATAAATTCGGCCCTGGTCGCTATCAATCTATATAATATATACTTTGGAAGTGCATAAGGGCTTTTTATATATCAATTTTTGTAAAAATGGCGCACATTTTGAGTACAATAATCGATTTTTTGCCAAAGAATAAAGAGAGCGTTCACAAATGATGTCATCCAATTTTTCGGGATTTTAGACTCCCCCTCCCCCCTGTCACGCAATTTCATGCAATTTTACATGTAAAAATACATTGTGTCACGTTTAGTACCTACTCCAAAAAACGTGACATCATTTGTGAACGCTCCCAAAAAGTAAATTGTTTATAAAAAATAAAGTTTACATCAAATTAAAAAATCTGTATGTAGTTCCAAAGTTTATAGTATTTAGTTTGTAAAATTTCTTTACTTTTTGTTCCAGGACTTAAACTTTTCAAGAAACCTTTCTGGCCGTAAAAAAATTGTCGATTTTCAGGGTGTTTAACAAGGATTGAGAAAAAAATTCCCTCACTTTTCCCTGACTTTTCCCTGACCATTAGACACCCTGATTTTGAATATAAAATTTACCGCCGCCATTTTGTTATATAATTAAAAAAAAAATTTCCACACTTCAATATGTATAATTAATAATTCCTCCAAAAAGAAATCCTAGTCTATATTTCATTTTCTCAAAATAAATCATCAAAGATATAGGTCTCTTTTTCTGGCTCTAGAATAATGTTACCCCTTAAATAAATTATATTATTTAGTAAAAAAATTTTATACTTGCTTATGATTATAGTAAATGCGAATCGGATAATTTGCTTATTTGCTGAAAAATAAATTCTATGATAAACTCACTTTATTAACATTTAAAACTTTTTAAATTCCGGAAATATACAGGCGTCCCAAAATATTTTTGTGAACAATAATTTTTTTTAGACTTACAATCTTCAAAAATATTGTATTCTTAATTTATAGATATTTTTAAAATAAATAAATAAAAAAAGATATATAAATAAATAAATGTTAGTCTTCTATTTACATTATTTATCTAACAAATATGTGTTTGTAAACTTTGCATAAAATATTTTTTGATGTTTATTTATCTTAAAAAATTTTATCATAAAATATTTTTTGTTAATATTTATAAAAAAGCAAAAAAGTACTATAATAATTATAGGATGACAATAATTATAATTGTTATTACTATTATTATACATATTATTTTTTCGCATTTAGTTATCAAATTAATTTTAAAATTTAACTACATAACTCAGGGTTCCTACAGAATCTGGAAATCATGGAAATGGTATGGAATTTTTAAAATGCTTCTGGAAATCAGGGAAATCATGGAAAAGGCCTGAAATTTTTAAAAGTTTCTAAATTTTTCCTGTTTTCAATTTTTTCTCTTGAATAGAAATTCAAATAATAATGAAGCAGGTCCCCCTTATTCGGAAGTACACCCAATAAAGTTACTTATATAATTAGTACATTTTTTAATATTTTAAAAACAAGAAATATATTTGATATTTTTATTTATTACAATTTTCTCATTATAATAAATAGAGTATAAAGTGTGACATAAGAAAATAAAAGGTCCTCACCCCCCCCCCCTTTGTCACAATTAGTCACATTTTCATGGACCCCCTCCCCCCCTAAAAAGTGTGACGTAATTTATGGACAAAGCCGAATGTAATATACTTGTAAAAATTTAATAGACGGATGAA